GTGAAAAAAACATCCTCAAATGTTGCTTGGAGCATTTTGATTGCTTTTTCAGTAGTTTGAACTTGAACTTGATCGATTCCTCATGCTTTCTGATCTTCTAACTTAGCTGCCCAAGTTGAAAATTTGCTTATGCAATGTGCAGTTAGAAGACCTGGAACGCTTTTCATGGTTTTTGAAGTTGTTACCATTAGTGCTCAGATTGGCCTTTTGCAACGTGCAACAGATTCCACTGCAAGTATAGTGCTCCAAACATCAATACGTCTGTGGAGTTGACAGATTTTCATCAACTCAGTCTGGTTTGGTGCTCTACTATACTACTTCAACTAACTACATACTACAACTAGAAGAATTCAATCTTCTTAAAGTCGTGCCTGCCTTCCAGCGAGGTTGCTCTGATATTCGGTCCCACTGTTCGAATAAACAATGTACTTAACTAAACAACAGAATAAAACTCCAAACTGAGTCGGTGAAAAGCCCTTACTATCTGCTCTCTTTTATTTATCTGTGGTCATGTCTGTGGTGGACGATGTTGAATTTCTCGAATAAAGTCGCCGCAGAGTACGATAAACATATTTGCTGGAAATGCCTATCCGCTACAACGTTTCATTAATTAGAGCAATGAAGAACACAACTGGCTCCTCACCCCTTTTATAGACTGAGACGAACCGGTTACCACAAAATAAGGGTGTTAGAGCACAGATCCCTTTCTTTCTGAGTTGGCGTTGTCCGTCCACTAGACTATAAAAGAGTAGCAAAGAATAACGTAGCCTATGACCGACTAGTTTGTCTCACATCTCCTCGTCCAACATCAACGTTTCCATTGCCCTCCAAACGTACGTATAACGTATACCGCGAATAGGCAACACTTCTGTCACTTGTTAAGCTAAACATCCATATTTTGCACAGAAAATTTGCAGTCACAAGCAGCGGAATCTTTATTTTGTGGAAAAATACAAGTTCACAGTGCAATGTTTCGCAAGACAACAAGTATCATGCGACCTCCGACAGTGTAAACTTGGAATGATTAGGGTCCGTGACGTCAGGAATGTGCCCCTAAGTGATTGTCCAATAGTCTTTGGGGGTAGTTTAATAAAAGCCCTATCAAGGTGCTCCCGATTTCACTTCCTTCAATGAGAAACACTGTTGAAAAGGTCGATTATGGCATACTTTAAACCATCGAGCCCAAGCTAATGGAAACAACTGCAGAGCACGTGGTGCGATGGTCATGTGAGGTTTCCTTAGGGCCACTCAGTGGGTCTTGTAGCTGTCCGGAAGAAGCCGTGGTAAATGTCTAATCCGTCACAACAACACTAGCATGGGTAAGCGTTCTTTGCGACGATCATTTCTTTTCCAACTATGCCTAGTAAAAGACCCTTTTGGAAGTATGAGAGCGCTGACTTGTTGACATGGCCACTGCAGTCCACTGTCCTGCCACGCATTCAAACACCCACTATGGTTCTGAATAATAGCCGAATGGGAAAGCACAACCCAGAAATTCGATTGGTTAACGCCGAAGACTTTATCCTTTATCGTTTCATCTCACAAATTTACAATAATGTCATTGTGACTGTGGAAGGAGATTGGCAGGGAGTTAAACTTTCACCCGAACATTCCATCGCCGCTGTCAAGAACATCAGGCTTAGTTTGGAATAGGAAGGATATCGAGCATCGAACATGCGGAACGAATTCGTGCTGAATCCAACAAATCCAGTAAATTAATTTTTTTGCTACTGGTTTAACGGAACCATATTCGTGTCTAATGGACTGGTATTTAATGATGTTCTTATGCTAAACGGAATATTCACTGTTCTGATCACTTGATGCATGTCTTTTGGAAAATCATCATTATGAATGATCTAGCTCCGTAGCTGAGCAGAAGGAAACGCGCTGTGTGAGGAGCATTCGAATACATTCAACTATCTCCTCCCTAGGTATCTCTCGGAGACTTGTACGTTAAAGAAGCAGGATGAGTGCGCAGTCAGCGTCAGCCATCGCGTGAAGGTATTCTGGAGCTCAGAGCTCGTCAAGTGGCAAAGGACGATGCTGCAGACGCAAGTAAACAAAGAATAGGCCAGCCAAATACGACAGAGACGAATAAAGAAGACGCTATTGGCGCCAGCTCGAGCAAATCAATGATCAGAAAAGACACAAGATTTTTGGAGCGAACTTGTAAGTGTGGTGCTCTAAGAATGTAAACGGGATCTATTGGGAGTAAACGCTGCTCAAAAGAATTGAGATTCGATCATATCAGGATTACTTCAACCATGGTCAAGTGTTCTTTGAAAATTTTTGAACGATCACATCTTGGAATGCATGGGCATCTGATCTGACGACTTTTCGACGGATCTCATCTTTGGGTCAGAGCTTTCGGTTATCAAACCTTTATCTGTTTGTCATCTATATTTATACCATATCAAGCTGGCGCCTACAGCCCATTTTGGCGCTCCGAAGTAATAACATTATGAGGGGGATACGATCGAGTAGGGGAGACTAAAAACTTCGAACAAACTCATCAGTTATGTGCATCAATGATATGGAGCAGAGGCAAGTCAATCCCCAAATAGATCAAATACGGTAATAATCAAATTTTTTTCAGAAAGAGTGACTATAGTTGATCATTTGCATTCGGCTCATGATTCGACTCCCACCTGTAGCACTGAACGATCGACCCGTTTGCATGATGATTGCCTGGAATACGGTAATTAAGTGTGGTGGAAACCAAATGAACCTCATCTTAGCATTCATTTCTTTTCCACCAGAAGCACAATATGCCTGGGGACACGTGAATGAATTCTGATGGCGCCTTCTAGAGTTCTTCCTGTTTGAATTTTTCATGGATCCGTGGCTGCAGAGCGGGTCGGTCGTACATGCTTTCAAAGCCCTAGCCCTTCGTTTTGCAGCTTAGCTTTCTCACAGGATTAGTAAAAGCCCCTAGAAAATGTAACCAGCACAGTCCCACGTGAGTATGTGCGCAAGCAGTAGTGTAGGGGTAAAGCGGAATATATTTAGCAAAGCCTCGATTTCGATCCTTTTGCATTCCGACCTAAAGTTGTGAGTTTAGGTCGCAAACGGATTGAAATCGAGCTTTGCTAAATATATTCCGTTTTATCCCTACACTACTGCTTGCTCTTACAGTCAAGTAGACCGTCCTATTATAGAGGGTAACAACAATACTGAATTGTAGTGGCAACACGACAACGAACAATGATGACGAAGGGAAGCGATAAAAGAAAGATACTGGACAGTATGAAATGGTTGCATCCAAAATTACTAGCTGAGGGTTTTTCATAAGCAGTACCATCGTCTCAAGGAATTGAAGACGAGGGTAGGTAGAATAAGTTGCAGTGGGTCCGTTCTTTTCTAAGCTGGTGGCTCTATTTACTTGGAGAAATTAAAAAGGGAATTTGTGAAAAGGAGAAATTGACAACTATAGCATAACCTGAGGCTTTCGTCATGCCAATAATGAATCAGACATTTGCACCTCAACAACGCTTTACTGTCTGTTCTCGACAAGAACAAGTATTTACACAGACTTTTGTTGTCTGATAATAATACATCAACGATAATCGTCAACATTGAAGATCTCAGATGCATATCGAACATAACAAAGGTAGGATCCAATATTAAAGGACCCATGGTGTGATGTAGTAATAGGATGATAGCAATTTTAAAATACATAATCGGACTCGTTTTCGGAGGCTGATATCGAATCTGATTTCTGAAGCTCAGGAAAATATCTGTCATTACAATAATAGGGAGTAGTAATTTTAATGACCTAACTTGTGCCTCATCTGGGAGAGGCACCATATACCCTTCAGCGGAGATAAAGTGTTAGCATCAGCGGAGATAAAGTGTTAGCAGCAGCCTGTATATTGACTATTTGGATTTGCACGGCTGACACCGTAATTCCATGTACTTTACTGAATAACTGTTTTTACTATTTTTCTTTTTCGGGTGTTATCATTAGAAATGGGGCGGTGCGTACCATGCCGTGGGATGACCGCTTCGCAATGGTGAATCGCTCTCAAATGAATATAAAATCGCTCTTTAAAAACCTTCATCTCTCAAGCTCTCACCATTGATACGACCAATGTTGCGCGGCCAACACGAGGGGCTCCGCAAGAGCTTTATCGAATGGGTTTGATCATTATACATATAAGTGGATTCGAAGCCTGGAATTCTCTAATCAGTACATTTTAAGAAATAGAAAAAATTGTAATCAGTGTTTTCCCCGTTTGTAGGCAACTCTAGGCTCCCCAACATGATTGCCTTATATCTATTTTTTGTCTTCAGTAGCTAGTTTATTAGAGCACCAAATGGTGACGATCACCTGATGGGCGAAATTTAATCGTGGTCGGCAACTCAACTGATGGGTTAACGCAAATTCCTGGGATGATTGGAGGCAAGTTTGGAAATTATTCATTAGTGATTCACAACTTTGTTTCTTGTTGTTTTGTCTCCCTCCTGAGATATCTAATTACTATTACATATCTGTGATATTATATTCATCAAACCAAAGGGTGAGCAGATACTCTCTCTCCCGCAGAAAACAGAAGAACTGTTAGTCAAAGAAGTTACAACGTTCTCTAGCATAACGAAAGGTTTATGCTTCCTTTTGGCCAAAAACTGCTTCAAAAGCTTGAAGAAGGTAGAGAAGAAGGTCAGAAATTAGGGAGGGCAGCCACCTTTGTTCCAACCAAGTTTTTGTAAACTGGAAACTCAGGATTCAGATTCGAGATCAGTTCCAAATACATGTTCCATATACGACTCATAGTGAATGTACAGTAGGATCCTTCCTCGATTATAGAGGTAATGGGAGTGGAAGTTTCTCGAGGAATATTAGACTGAAAGAAACCACTCACATTCCCCTTTTGAAGGAGGGTTTCAAAGTCACTCTTTTCTTCCTCTCAGTAATAGAAATTTCCACGGTCACAATGAGAGTGTCTGTTCGCACATAATAAGTGAGTAGAGCAATGAATAAGAGCGAATGGATCTTCTCATCAAAGCATAACCTCCTTTTTGGCACGACAATTTCCAAATTGGGCGAAGAAATGTCTGAGCTGTTTGCGGATTTCTCGGTTGCAGTGGAAGTACACGGGAAGTCGAGTGGCTGTAGATGAGATTGTGAGAAGAGAAGATAGATCAGCTAGGTACCTACAACAAAACTACGTAGTTCTGCTCCCTCCACAAGGGATAAAACAATGAATTTTTCTTTCAACTCACTTATATATGCGTCCTTCGCCAAGATTCCGCAACCATTCTGGTCTAATGAATTCCATAATGGTAAGCAGAAGGTTCAGAGTATTGGCGAGCAGATACACTGTGACGAGGGCGGCCAGGGTCCTGGTGGCATCCTTTTTCTTCTTCCGAGCCTCAGCCGCGGCAGCGGAGCCGTGGATAAGAGATGGAAGTTTCTGAACACAGCTCTGTTGAGGCTTCTGCGCAAGGAACTTTGGCGATAGTAGAAATAGACAGGAAAGACTGCTCGTTGAAGGGATTGGAGAGGTTCAATGCTCTTGCAATTAAAAAAGGTTATAAAAATGGAAAGGAGCATGCAGCAACAATTGGTGGTAGGCAGTGGACACTCATAACACGAGAACGAGGAACTCACGATCCGTACTGAGACATAAGACTATTTGCCCTAGCAGGCCATCCCCATATAAGGACATGATTTACTGTGCGACCTTATCGCGAGTACTACATTTACACACTCTGGACCCCTGCGTTGAAAGAGTTCTGAGTCGTAGAGGTTAAAACACAAGGATGGTGTGGCAGAAGGGAAATGAGCTGTGCATACAAAGGGAATAGAAGATGTCAGATGTAAGAACGAATAATTGATGAGTAGAATATTGCAATGAGATTGACTTATAAAAAAATGGGAATTAATTTGCAAAGATCTGTGGGCAACATTTTTTTTTTTTTNCAGCTAAAAGAAATCACCACAAAATTCTGGGTCCGACCAGAACTTAGCTCAGAGTTTTAAATTCATGCGAAAATTCTCCCCTCTGCCCTTTTGTCACCCCATCACCGAGAAATAGAATAGCATAAAAATATGCAGGGTATTTCATATTCATGCAACTTGTGCGGATTTGATGAAGGCTCAGTAATAATGTGAGGAACATCAGGGTTTGAAAGGAAGACAACACGTTCCAAAAATTTTGCTGAGAGTTCCTTACGGAATCGTTGTATTCGGAGAGTAGCTCTGCACGCTCCAATTCAGCCTGGATAACGTCGACATACAGGTGATTGTGTTTCAGGAGAAAATTCAGTGTTTATTTGCACTTCCTCATGATTTCATCACTGCGATTCCCAGGCCTTGACAGTCACCGTTGCTCCCTCTGCCTTGCACCGACCATCTCAACATTCTTGAGGCTATCGACTAGTGCAAATAGTAGTCCTGGTGGCCATATAAAAGCTAATCACATTTTTTTACAGTATTAGATTGGTCCTGTTCACTCTGTTCTGACTCGAAAACACTACTTCATAGTCATAATCACCCTCGAGCAATGCATACTACCGGTTCTAATAAAACTGAGGGCGAAGTCCGTACGGGAAACAGCCCAAAAGGACCAGCTCGTGAACAGCCTCTGTCGCCCATTTGTGGTTTGCAAAAGATAGAGCATTAATATAGTTTCAAGTTGCAAACCACGTCCCCTTTGCGGACTCTGCTCCCTTGCCACGATGTATTTTGCCACATACGCAAGACTATATTATGGTATCTAATTCCGAGAGTAGTGATGAGTGTGAAATGGTCAAAAGTGTCGTTGAAAAAGTCTGAAAGCATCTGATTATATTTGTGAAAGTACACTTTTTGACCACTTTCTGACGCGAAGACGTTATTTACCACCTTCGTTCCAGTCTGCTTTCCGAGTAAGTTCCCCATTAGCAGGCCCATTTACAGTAGCGCTCAAAAGTCTTCGATCGAACTGTTATTCAGTCGTATTTTTCAGTCGCAACTCCTTTCCTACTGTATCTAATCATGCGAAATTTCTATATTTGGAGAGTGGGTTTATTGTGAATATTTACCACTATTAACCTGCCATCTGATCGTGTTCCAGATATTCCAAAGAGCATGAACTCGAAATCAATGGAAATACACCTTGCAACAAGAATTGCTCTTAGTTATGCGGATATTGATGCTTTGCAGTCGAGTAGGGTTGGATAGTGTGAAGTACGCTTAAGTTAAACATATCAAAGTTTCGCGCGATTTGCTCCATAAAGGAAAAAGGTATGAATGAAAGAGCGTGGAAGCATTTGGCCGAATACTTTTGAGCGCTACTGTATATTCCCATGCCTCTAATCTGGACAAGATGTGATATGAACTAAACTACATGGAAAGTCTGCTGATCAGAGAAAACAGATAATGTGGTCGCTACCACGTAGCCAGGTGACTAAATCGTGAGAACCTGTTCAACATAGGATTCATCCTCCGGTTTCCGCACCTCATCTGGAATCTGAAATACCGATGAAAAGGCATAAGTAGGTGCCCCTTCCCATGCTGCTGCGCCGGTAAACCTTGTTCCAGCCCCGTCCGATAATCGGAAGTGTTCTCTGATCAGCGGCGGTTTCTTCAGCTTTCTAATTATTAATGAAAAATCATTTAGAAGAAACATCTCCACTTAATTTTGCTCCCAAATTGACAATGCCGATAGGCTATTCTCGATATTGAACATGCGAATTCGTTGATTCTGTTCTTTCTGCACTTCGCAGATTATTCTCATGTATGGCCAAATGTAGCGCTACCATTTGTAGTCTTGTTGTTCGCTTTCCAAAAAATTGCTGCTCTACACGTGAACATTGGCTGTCCAATACGAGCCTCCTGCAGCAATTACTTTGCTAGCTAGAAGGTAAAAATCGTTATTCTACGGTATGCTACATACTGTTGTCTGCCAAGGTTCGTTCTCTTCATTTGAGTCTGTTATGTTTTTATGGTCAAAATGGCTGCACTTTTTCTCCATTTTTTTTT